AGATGGAGTTGGCACCAAACTAATATTTAAGAACTATGTGCTAAGCTTTCTTCTAAGCACTTCCTTAAGACTCACAAGTCCCCAGGAGGGAGCCACTGCCTTTGTCCCCAGGCTACTGATAGGTTTCCGAGGTTAGGTGACTTGCCCAAGGCCTCACAGGTAGTAACAGCAAGGCTCCATTCTAAGATAGTCCGACTCTAAAGCCAAGATGTACAACTTTAAAAAAGGAAGGGCTGGTGCCAAACAGAATCTCAATGGAATTCCAAAATGCAATTTTTCATTATCTTGATAGCATGATGTCAGGGATGAGAAACATGGTTACATTCTGCTTTGACATTGGGTGGTTTCCAAAATAGCATTTTTTATGTAGTTTTGCTGCTTTTTACTTAAATTTATTGAACAGATAAAACATTCAATTCACATGGTTCAAAAGTTATACACAGGGAAAAGTCTCTCTCCCAACCCTGTGCTCCCACAAACCCAGCTCCAGCCCTCATCTGCCCCTAACAGGTAATGCTTCCTGGTTTATTTCGTATGTATTCTTCCAGGGGCTTTAAAGCAAACATAAGTATATACAGATATATCTTTCCCCTTTTTTATCCCAATAGCAGCATACTATGGCGCCCTGGTGGCACGGTGGTTAAGAGCTCACTGCTAACCAAAAGGTCAGCAGTTCAAACCCACCAGCTGCTCCTTGGAACCCCTGTGGGGCAGTTCTACTCTAACCTATAGGGTTGCTATGAGTCGGAATCGACTTGATGGCAACAGATTTTGGCAGCATAGTATACTCTGTTCTAAATCTTGCTTTTTGCACTGCATACTCTATCTTACACAGCTTTCCACAGAAGTTAAGCAGACAGCTTCCTAAATCTTTTATAGCTACACAGCATCTGTTGTGTGGATGCACTGTCACATATTCAATCCCTACCCTATTCATGGCGTCCCTGGGTGGTGCAAAGGGTTAACACACTTAGCTGTTAACTGAAAGGCTGGAGGTTCGAGTTCACCCAGAACCTCCTCGGAAGAAAGTCCTGGTGATCTGCTTCTGAAAACTCAGCCACTGAAAACCCTATGGAGCACAGTTCTACTCTGACCCACACGGAGTCGCCATGAGTCAGAGTCAACTCCACAGTAACTGATTCACCCTACTCATGGATGTTTCCATCATTTCCAACGAATAACCCTGAATAGTCATCATTTCACACATCCGCACATGTTTGTAGCATAAACTCTAACAAGTGGCATTGCTGAGTCAACACAAATATGCATTTGCAATTTTGAGAGATTCTGCCAAACTACCCTCCATGTGGGCTGCAGCCATTAACATCCCCACCAGCAACGCACAGGAATGGATGTTTTCTGACAGCCTCACCAACGGAGCAGCCTCAAACGTTTGAATATTTACTAATCTGATAAAGGAAAACTGGTATCTCAGCATGGTTTTACTTGATTCTCTTCTATTATCAATGAGGGTGGGCATCTTAGTATATATACACCCCAGAGCCATTCCCCTCTCTGTGACCTGTTCTGTTTATATCCTTTCCCTGTATTTCAAATGGGCTGTTGGCAGCAGTTTATTTTTAATATAAGATAATCATTCATACAAATAAGATAAATATTAAAATGCATGAAAAGGAAAATAATTCTAGCTGTTTGAACTTTTTTTTTCCTTGGATTTTTAAAAAATACTATCTTGAAGTGCCATTCTCAGTTTTCCGTATCTAACAAGTACACAAAGACAGAAGAATCCAGGGTAGTTTACTAGAACGAATGGGTGAATCAAGCGAGCAAGCAATCTGGGGAGCAAATCAGAACAGCCAAAAGCAGCTAAAATGGTACATCTGCGGGACCATTTTGCAAGGGGTTCTGATGCAAGCCCCGACTTGCCTTTCCTCTGACACTCTAACACATTCTCTCTCTCTTCAGCACCTCCCACTTCAACCTCAATGCCTCCAATGACAAAAGGGAGAAGAGAACAGCTGCTCTTTTCAGAATCAGTCATTACAATCTGATTTCACAGGATGTGTAAATCCCAGGGAGTCCCTGGGTGGTGCACACAGTCAGCATGCTCAGCAGTTAACTGAAAGGCTGGCAGTTCAAGTCCACCTAGAGGCACCTTGGAAGAAAGCCCTGGTGATCTACTTCTGAAAAGTCAGCCATTGAATAATCTATGGAGCACAGTCAGCGTCAACTCAACAGCAACTGGCAGTGATGAATCCCAGCGAATATGAACATGTAACTCTCAAACGATGTGTGTGATGATTTACGTAAGGCTAGCAAAAGAAGTTCCTTCTTTAAATGAGTGTCCCTTTTAAGTGGAAAGATAAACTTTACTTAAAAAGAAAGTCACCTTTGATTCATGGGCCAGGAGATGGACGCTGAATCCACCAGCCCTGCTGTTCTTCTGAGTAATGATTCTGCTATCACAACCTGTAACTGAGAACACTTCTATAACAGAGTTATGGGTCAGAGCGAGTCTCAAGGAGAGAGAAAAATCTACAGGGTGATTCCTGCTTATCGATCACATTGCCTTACATAACAGCGCGCAGGCTTATTTATTTGCAAGGAAGCAAAGAGTTGAACAGCTAGCTGACTGAAGGAGCAAGTGTGTTTGTGCTTAGAGACTCCTGGCTCAGCAGAGCCTTCTCTTGTCCAACCACCTTCTCTGCCACTTCTTTAAGGTGGACAGTGTCGGCTCCACCCCAGGAATGCATTTGAATTGCAGCTGCAAGAGCACCTAACATTGTTACTATCTGTGAATTCTCAGTGGAGTATTGAGCTTCACCTGGGATGCTACAGTCCTTTAGGCATTAGGATGGCATGGGAATGCTTTCAGCATGAAGATGTCCATGACAGAGTTATTTATAACAGCAAAACCTGGGAAAGACTGAGGCACCTAATGACGAAGGGAATGGTTAATTAACTATGCTACAGTCATCCTTCAGCAGTCATTAAAAAAAGTTTATAAGGACATTTTTGTGGAGTGGGAAAATGCCAATGAAATGATAATAAATGAAAAGAGCAAGATTTGTGATTGCATCTAGACTCGCCGGCACTGCCTTTGCCTGGGAGGTTATTCTGTCTAACTCTGAAGGAAAATATTCTTAGCCAACCACCTGGCCACTCTCCTAAGCCACATTCTCCAATAGAGCTTTGTCAGCAAACAAGCTGACACTTTCAATCTCCATCCAAAAAGTCTGCATTCCCAGTATGACATCAGCTAGGTAAAAATAATAATAATATCGTATCAAAACATTCTCCAAGGAAAGGGATCAAAAAGCACTCCGCAAATCTTAGAGTGAACACACACTACTTTTATTTTAAAAATAAACATATAAATAAATAAAACCATGTAATATTAAAAAGCAGTACAGGAGTTTGTCCTTATTACAGTGTTTCCTGACACAAATATA